TCTCTCTTTGAATGTCTCCAAAACGGCAGTGATTGGAGTTAATAATTCGAATACGGAGGTAGAGTTTTGGGCCTCAGCCTTTGGGTGCAGGTCAGGTTCGATTCCTTTATCTTACTTGGGCTTTCCTTTAGGAGGTAATCAAAAGTCAGTCTCCTTTTGGGACCCAGTAGTTGACAAAATGCATAAACGGTTACAAAAATGGAAGAACTTGTTAATTTCTAAGGGTGGGAGACTTACGCTAGCTCAATTTGTCCTCAATAGCATCCCCATTTATTTTATGTCAATCCTGAAAGCTCCGATGGCTGTGGTTAATTCTATGGAAAAAYTGATGAGAGATTTTATTTGGAATGGGGGTTCCTCAAGACCGATCGGTAACTTGGTGAAATGGTCTTGGACAGCTCTTCCGCATGAAAAGGGAGGTCTTGGTATCGGGTCTTTGGCTAAAAGGAATAAGGCTTTGTTGATGAAATGGTTGTGGCGTTTTGCGACAGAGAGGATGTTTTTGGAGGAAAGTCATAGCAGCTATCTATGGAGAAGAGCCCTTTGGTTGGTTGCCTAAGTCTGCTAAAGGTTCTTCTGTGGGGAGACCTTGGTTAGATATTCAAGGTTTGAAAAAGGATTTCAACAAGCTGTCTCTTTTCAAAGTCTCTGCTGGAAATTCAGTTCGTTATTGGGAGGATGCCTGGATTGACAGTGTTCCCCTTGCAGCTTCTTTTTCGGACATCTACACCCTTTCCTTAAAGAAGAGTGCTACAATAGCAGAGTGTTGGTCGGCAGAATCTTCAACTTGGGATTTGGGCTTTAGAAGGAATCTTTTTGAGAGAGAGATAAGCAGATGGGGGATTTTTTCTGATAAGTTAGAGGGGGTGATCATAGGGCAAGGCAGAGACAGATTGTGGTGGAAAGCAGATATCTCGGGGATGTTTTCGATTAGATCCACGTTTTTGGCCCTGAGTTCTCCTTCCCCTATTTTAAGTTCGACCATGGCAAATCAGATTTGGCATTTCAAAGTTCCAAAGAAAGTCAAATTTTTCCTTTGGAACCTGTATTACAGAGGCCTCAACACAGCAGACAAGTTGCAAAGGAAATGTCCTTCGTGGGTTCTCTCTCCTTCGGTTTGTAGTATATGCTTAAGGGATGAAGAAGGGGTGGACCATCTTTTCCTTCATTGTTCCTATGCTACAAAAGCTTGGTCTTTTATTGCCTCTCAACTGGATCTTTCTTTTTGTCTTCCTAGGAGAATAGAAGACTTTATATTAGAGGGCTTTGGGGGACCTAACCTCAAAGGAAAAGCTGGTGTTCTATGGAAGTGTGCTGCCCGAGCTCTTCTTTGGCTTTTATGGAAAGAGAGGAACAGTCAGATTTTTTAGAATATTTCAAATTTTTGGCAGATTCTTTTTGTATGAAAATTAAGCATGTTGCTTTGTGGTGGATTTCTTCCCACCAGAGAAGTCTTTTTGTAATTATAGCCTCCAACTCATCCTACATGATTGGAAAGCCTTGATTGTTTAGTTCTTTGGGGAGGGTTCTCTCTACCCTCTGCCTTTAGGCTGTCTCTCTTTAGGTTTTTCCCTCTTTTAATACAACTTTTTGATGTTTCTTATCAAAAAAAAAAAGGTATGGGGGCTATCTTATCCCAAAAGAACCATCCCATTGAATATTTTAGCGAAAAATTAGCCCCACCAAGACAAAAGTGGTGCACATATGAGCAGGAATTATACTTTAAAATATCTCCAAAACCGAAAAATCCATTAATCATATGCATGCCCATTGATTGCATTCATTCAAAAATTTGATTTTGTCATCAAGCACAAGGCTGGGGTTACTAATAAAGTTGCAGATGTCCTAAGCAAAAAAGCCAGCTTACTAACATTATTATCTGGCCAAGTTGTGGCGTTTGAACACCTCCCCACCTCTTATGAACATGATAGTGACTTTCATGACATATGGCTTAAATGCCAACAACATGTTCACTGTGATGATTTCCATATTATGGATGGTTTTTTGTTCAAGGGCGATCGGTTGTGTATTCCCCACACTTCTTTAAGAGAAACTCTCATTAATGACCTACATGCTGAAGGCCTAGCAGGGCACTTTAGCAAAGACAAAACCTTTGATATGGTGGCACAACAATTCTTTTGGCCTCAAATTAAACGTGATGTTCATAACTTTGTAACCCGCTGCCTTATTTGTCAAAAGGCCAAAGGCCAATCGCAAAACACAGGACTCTATACGCCTTTACCAATTCCCGAGTCGATTTGGGAAGATTTATCCATGGATTTTATCCTTGGCCTTCCTAAAACACAATAGGAATAGGGATATGATTCTGTAATAGTAGTGGTGGACAGATTTAGCAAAATATCCCACTTACTCCCTGGTAAAAAGACATTTGATGCCATCTATATTGCTAACCTATTTTTTCGGGACATAGTACGGTTACATGGTATTCCTAAAACAATTGTATCAGATCGGGATGTCAAATTCCCAAGTTATATCTGGAAAACACTTTGGAAAAAATCCAACACTGGCTTGAAATTCAGTACAACCAGCCATCCCCAGACCGATGGGCAAATGGAGGTCACCAACCGGACCTTGGGAAATTTAATTTGATGCCTCGGCAGCAATAAGCCAAAACAGTGGGACCTCACACTTGCACAAGCGGAGTTTGCCTACAATCACATGAAAAACCGGTCCACAGTGAAGTCTCCCTTTGAGATTTTAGTGAAAACCTAGACTAACTGTTGATCTCGCTAACCTACTTGCCTCTGTTGATCTTAGTAAAGAAGTTGAACAAATGACAGAAAGGATAGTGGACTTACAAAAAGAAGTGGTTGAAAACCTCACTCGGGCTGCAGCTAATTACAAAACAAGTGCAGACTCCCACTGACGGGAAAAAATTTTCAACGTCGGCGACCTAGTCACGGTCTATCTGAAGAAATCTCGATTCCCTAAAGGCACTTGTAACAAACTTGAAGACAAGGAAATGGGACAATACTTTCAGAGCTAATCTACCAGAAGACATTCGGATACACCCAGTTTTCAACATAGCTGATATATATGAGTACCAAGCACCAGACACCTTTCAGTTGGCCACTTAACTCGAGGATGAGATCCTTTTTGGAGGGAGGGAATTTTGATGTAATATCAAACAGTTTATTTCCTATTAAGGATTAAGTAGCTTATTCTTTTAAGAAGTTTGTAGTTAGTTAGTAGTTAAAGCTTTTAGTTAATCAGTTATTTCAGTTGTTTTAGCTAGCCGTTAGCCTCTTGCCTTTAAAAGGCCCTACCGACCTTTTGTAGATTCATTTAGAAATTAATAACATTTCATAATTGGTATTACACCAGTTTGTATCTTTGAGTGTGATTGTTCATTTTCATTATTTCAATGAGAAGTTCGTATCTTATTAAAACAAAAAAAAAAACAAGTGGCAAAACTGCAAAGAGTTCAAGAACTCAGTCTTGGGCCAAAAATTCTTCAAGAACAATGACCTATTCACCAAGAATTCAACCGCAACCCCCTCTTTCAGCGAAGACATGAAATTCCGATTGCATCTTCCAGTGAAGAGGAAGATATAGCTGAATTATAAGATGATAGGCGGATACTTCAAACTAACCAACATCGATATCTAGAACAAAATGAATATAAGATGAAGATAGGTCTTTTAAGTTTCAATGGAAAAATGGAAATTGAAGGCTTCCTCGATTAGGTAAAGAAAGTGGAAAATTTCTTCAGCTACATGAATACATCGGAACACAAGAAGGTTAAGCTAGTGGCCTTGAAATTGAGAGGAGGGGCATCCGCTTAGTGGGACCAACTTGAGATTAATAGATGTTGATATGGGAAAGGACCAATCCGCAGTTGGGAGAGGATGAAGAAACTCATGTGTGAGCGATTCCTACCCGTGAATTACAAGCAAATCTTGTACAATCAATACCAAAATTGCAAACAAGGTACGAGATATATTGTTGATTACATTGAAGAATTTCACAGATTAGGTGCTTGGACAAATCTTGGCGAAAATGAACAATTAGTAGCAAGATACATTGGAGGGCAACAACTAGCACTTCAACCTATTGGATATCTCAATGAAGCAATATCTATGGCTGCTACAATAGAGGAGCATACAGATATAAGTAGTATACTCAGAGAAACAGCTGGATAGTCAAAATAGTACTTCAAAAAGAGTACAGTAGGCTATTTATAGGCTTTTAGATCCTAATAGCCGTAAGGCTATTTACTGTGCAGATTAAAATAACTACTTTATGAACTGCACCAGTATTCGCCACTATTAATCTTATTCAGCATAAGATCGTGAAACTAAGTAATAACTAAGAAAGAATGAAGCATAACATTTAACTGAAACTAAGTAATTACTAAGAAATAATGAAACATAACATTTAACTGAAACTAAGTAATAACTAAGCAAGAATGAAACATAACATTTAAAATGACTTTATTGACAAAGATCAAACTAAAGAAACTTGGATAAAATTTAGAACAAAAGTCAAGGATAGAGATGAAGAGATGACTATGTCAAATCCAAGTACAAAAGATGTTGATCTATCTAGTATCTGTGAATGTAGCATTAGTAAGGGATGTAGATGACATCCCCTTTTGTAATTGATTTACACCAATTAGAATCCATTTTTGGAAATCCTTGTTGGCTTTTTGGGATTCCTCATTGTACTTCTTTTGTATTCATTTTGGCTTTGATATATAATCTTTGTTTCCTTTCCACCAATAAAAAAAAGAAAAAAAAAAGAAGCTGAAAAAGAAAAAGAACGACACCAATATAAGGACACATTTCATGCTTAATGGTTTTATTTATTTATTTATCTCTCTCTCTCTCTAGCCCCAGTGTGTGTATGTTGATCCTTATAAGAAGCACATTTAATAAAATGCCAAAAACTTTGCATTATATTTTAGAGGACTACATTTACTATATATGCAAACCAAAAGGTACAAGTTCTCTGTCACCTATAACGTTATGTTACTTTAGGTTGAAACTGTTGAAGGCTTGAAAGACCTTCAAATACCTGCCGGAGTTCAGCCAGGGGATAGAGTGAGATTGTCGTGCATGGGGGTTCCAGATATAAATAAACCATATGTTCGTGGTGATCATTTGTTTATCGTGAATGTTCAGATTCCAAAACACATCAGGTCTGATTGTTTTACCATTCTTGACTTTTTTTTATTTTTTTTTATTTTTTATCATCATCTTGAACATGGCATTCCAATCAGAAACTCCCAACTGGAATTCTAGTTATTTTTTTGACAAGAAACGAAATTTTCATTGATAAATGAAAAGGAACAAAAATTGTTCAAAGATACAAACCCCCAAAGGGGTGAAATGAAGGGGATGAAGAAGGAAAAAAATTAAAAAAAAAAAAAAAAGATACAAATAAACCAAACTTAATAAATGAAGCTTAAACATTACACAAAAAAGCCTCCCAATTAGGAGAAATCATGCTAGGAGAATAATTTGCAAAGAGATTGGAGAGAGCACACCATTGTGAGGCTTTGAACTTAGCTTTACTGTAACATTTGAAAGCTGAGCGGCTTTTCCCTTCGAAAGTCCTTTGATTCCGCTCAAACCATAACTCAGATATAAGCGTTTTAAGGCTGTTTACCCAAAGAAGACTTGCTTTAGGCGAAAAGAAAGGACCAAATAGCAACTGAAAAATTGATGAAGATACTGACTTGTCCTTTACCCAAGCTA